ATCAACACGCTTATGTCCTAACATGGGTCGCTCTTTGTACAGTATTTATATATTATATATTTTCAATGTAAAAACATGTTCATGTCTGTTGGAGGTTCCCAATTATGTCAAAATTAACAAAACAGAATTTTGCTCGTTTTTAAAAAAAAAAATAGAACATTCAGGCCAACGTGTATGCATCTAAAATAAAATGTTATGGAACTCCGCACACCGCGAAGAGATAATATACATGCCCTCGCGCACGGGGCGAAATGCTAATTCGATATGCATCTGAACAACAAGTTTTGGGTTCATACGTAATAGCTACAGGAAATAATAAATGTAGTATACATTTTCATATCCTTATCTGAATGAAATCAAGGACGTTGCGTAACAAATCGTAGATTTAAAAAGAAATCACATTTACCTGCTATTCACGTCAATATACGCACTGCCTTGTGTAGGCGAACATACACTTATATACATATACGTATGTATTTTGACCTCGCACATTTATAAATTAGAAAACAAATATCAGTAGCTATATGTACACAATCCTCAATCAATCAAACAAACTTTGGTTATGAAATTGACCAACAAACAAATATATAATACCAACGGTATCGCGAATATATGTACATGGTACATACAAAATCATTTTGGCATATAGCGGTATTAGATAGAAATTGCACCCATTCCAAATATACCTGAACATATTACGAAATAAATATTGCTTGTCAAACTAACATTCCTCAAGCCAAGAACTATAACTCTTAATAACCAGTATGAAATGCAGAGGTCTAAATCTTCGTCCGTTAAAATGCTATCACGTCGGTCTAAAATCAATAATATAAATAAATCGATACTCATAGATTGATTGGAGTCAATCGGTACTCACCGTGCAGCGTACGGTAGTCCGACGCGCCTGCGATAGTATGTATCTATCTATTGATAACTCGTCTCCGAGCCGCGTCTTTCGCATCAAGCATCCTTCAACATGTGTGAAATAATTCTCTTATAATTTTTCTCACGCATTACGATCACTTATATGCATTATGTAGAAAAACAAAACCCTTATGGAAAATAATCATGTGAGAGCTAATTGCTTCCTATCGCTTTTCATCCCGACGGCACAATTTTCCCGCGCGCGCCAAAATCCCCATGCGCCATCGTGCATGCACATTTTGCCCCAAATCGCGACATCGAATCCAGTATGCGACAGCGTTCAGCTCCAGGGATGTCGATGACGACATCTCATGGAAGATGAGGGGTCTTCGGCTGAAGCGGTTGTGTGCTTGTTTTAATTAGGGGTCTTTGCCTACCAAGGACCCAGTTCTCCATATGTCGGGGCGAGAGTCACGTGCCATCTGCCGAGAGTTTCATCCTTCGGGAATGACAAATTTGATTCTGGGACCTCTATTTCTGAAATTTGACATGATACATATTACCGACTGCTAGCTTTTCCCAAGACAGTTCTAATGATGAAGTCTCTTTTTGAAACTGTACCGCACTAAGGCAGCCGAATTGACTATGTCGTGCGGGGCCACGTGAAATTCGTGCAACGTTGTGTTATGTGTGACCCGCGCTGCGATTAAGGGTCAGCCGAACGGTCAAGTTATGATCATATTTTCAGTCTAAAATTGCATTTTTTCTTCATTTCATTCTTCTTATTACATTTCAAGTGAAAGCTGAAGAAGGATATCATCATCTCTCACGCCAAAGTCTCGCGAGAACTCATCTCTCCGACCCGTGTCTCGTCGCTATGGTTTCAGCAGACTAAAATTTATTTCCATCGCTTACAGAAGAAATCCACGTAGGAATAACTACTGGAAGAGAAATTGATTCTAAAGATTCGACTAAATCACGCTATCACGTGACTGCGTGACGAGACCTCTGTAATTCAAATGTATGTCTTTGGGAATATTCAAACAAACTCACTTTTCATTGTGGAGTAAATTAGGAAAAACAGATTTTACAAGTCTCTGAAGAATACCGTGGTCGTGTTTTGCAATGACCCGCTGCTAAAGCAATGACAGGTAAAAACTCGACTGCTAGTATCAACAAGGACAAATAAGGTCCGGGGGAATTATTCAACATGTCCTCTTTCATTTAAATTCCATCAATCGTAGGTTGTATTCTTTCGATTAGTTGATTTTTATTTCTGGCATTTTTTAAAGCGAATTTGTCTCTTAAAGATTTAGTTTATTAACTTGGAACAATTCTTATGGCGGTAGATTTTTTTTTTCAAGGACTGGCCTCTTTCAAATATGGTATACAATGAAGTCTACATATATACGAAGTCTAAACAGGTTTGAAAGAACGTATTTCCACAACAGAACTATAACAGAACTATCAGCAAATACCCAGCGTAAACAATATTGTATTGAGGCGGTTGGGTAGCTTAGTGGTTAAAGCATTCGCTCGTCACGCCGAAGACCTGGGTTCGATTCCCGACATGGGTCAATGTATGAAACTCATTTCTTATGTCACCCGCCGTGATATTGCTGGAATATTTTTTTTAAAGCGGCGTAAAACAATACTCACACACTCACTCAGTTTCTCTCAGTGAGATCTGTGAAGGACCATTGTGGTACAAGGATGGCGAACTCCAACAGGTTTCAAAACAATTAGTCACGGTCTATAAAACCACTGGTACAACGTAACATGAACGTGTATGAAACTCCGGTTACGACTACAACTACGTCCACTGATAATATCCTCATTGCCTCACCACAAGTACTGGTGTACTCTCATACCACCTCTGCTTATATTTCAACAACCTTTCAAATGATCCCCTATGTCAAACAACGCGCTATTATCCGGTAGTTAGATATGCACGAGCATCTCCTAGAAGTACACCTAAAGCGTTATACAAAAATATAACACAATATGATGCACAATTGGATGATACTATTAACAGATATCCATCTTGAGGTTTCGTTCTCAATTGAAAAATAGTTTGTTTGGAATATATTACAATTGGGACTCATTGTTAACCTTTAAAATAAGTTCAGAAAGAACACTGTCGTTTTTACTTTTATTTTTTTGGTGCGTCACTGATTACACAATCGAATCAAGCTCGGGCTACCCGCATGCGAATGTGCGAGTGAATTTTAATAATAAATATCTTTATTCATTGAAATTTGATACTTTAATCGTCAAAATGATTTCATATTTTTTAAGTTCTAAGAGCTTTTTCAACACAGTGTGTGAAATTCGATTCCTTTTTTATCATTATGAAGTCAAAAGGCAAAAGCTGACTTTGCGGCGTAATTTTCGACAAATAACCATCCTAATACATTAAATGTAATTAGATTAATTGCAATTCGATGAATTTTTTATGTAATATTTTCACAATTGATGATGAAAGGATCCAAAATGGCCGAACTGAGGAAACAATTGATTTTCATCATAAAAGAATATTTCCATAAAGAAATTGTATCCATAATTTTAGTCCGAGGGGTTGGGGGAGGGGATAGAAAAGGAACATCCAGAACTTATATACAGCACTGCGGCCGGGCTCTCTGTTGGCTCGGCGCTTTTTGATAGATGAATGGTGAAATCTAACATGACACTTAAATCTCATGAATTTTAATGCCACGGTACCTTGGGATTGGCCCGAGCTCCATGTCCGTATCTCTGATAGGAACTGTCCCAACACGCCGCCCCGTCAGGCAACACGAGAATTCAACTAAAATATTCTACAAAATTGAATTGCTTTTCAAGCTTATACACTGAATGAATTTAATGCCAAAATAATTTGTAACTCTATATTTGAATATACAGAAAATAATGACGGCTGTTTCGGAATACGTGCAAAACATTAGGATAAAGACTGCGAACAATTACACAGACAATTTCATTACTGATCCTTATTCGTTTGTTTTCCATTTCCATCACGTCAAGTTTGGAAACAACACGACGCAACGAAGGGTAATAATATGCAGTTTGTTAAAAAGGTATGAAAAGTAATTGAGAGTCGCGTTACAAAACAGAGAAGATCCTCTTGGGGATTCGAGGACTCAAAGCGCGAATAATAATTCATAATAATCAACAAAATTGAAACCCCTAACTGACACTATTTCCTATGAGTCGAATTCGTTTTTGTTTTTGTTTGACCCGCTGTCACATTTGGTAAAACCAGTTATCACTGCTTCGAAATGAATTCTACGTTTGCGTGTGAGGGATTATACAGCTATAACTATGCGGCTGTGTTCCCCGTTGGCTATTTAAACATCATAAATACAATACCGTTCATTCGTACACGTTATGGCTAGTTGAACGAAATCGCACCTGCCTGGCCAAAGTTCGTATTGTCATGTTTCAGGAATATTGTCCAAGACATGGGCGTGACGTAATTGGTATTTTGTATTCCTGCAAGTAGTTACAGGAATAGAACCAGGTGTTGAATGTTTTAAGATGTAGGGCGTTGTATCTGATCTGGTCACGCCGATACGGACACCATCAACAGTAATCTTAAGTGTATAATCAATTAATCACAGAGGCAAGTCTTTTCTCTCAATTCTTTCGCTTCTTATAAGAATTCGCCTTGACGTTTTTTAGTAACTATGGTATTTTTCATCATATTTTTTAAACACGTTTGGAAAATGGTGACCAAGACGCTCTGACGTAATGTTGTTTTACGACTGCAGCTATATTCTTTACGTTGTGGAAATAATTATCTTTTACAATCGGTATGGCGTCCGGTTACAAGCGTTATGGCTTTAATGTTGATTTTTTTCTTCTTTTATTTATGATGAAGTGTTTCTGTGTGAGAAATACGGGAATAGTTATTACTATTTTCTTCATAAATGAAACAAGTACCGATGACTCACAATAGCAGACAAACAGTCTGAAGTTCCTTCGTGTAAAACGTGCAATCTTTAAGAAGAAATTGTACTTCCTTCCCGAACAAAAACTGTCCCTTTGTAGGTGCTGTGTAAACAATATAGAGAAATGGCTATGAAAATCGTCTTAGCATGCTTGTACGTTACATTCCGTGCCGGGTCCCCTGTGACAGGATGAAACGCGCCCCAAGCCCTCCATGGCATCTGTGGGAGAAGGCTGAAAAGGGGTACGGGGTAAACTTGCGGGATCCTTAAACATCTTGTAATAGTCAACCCAGAGACTACAAGAAGATGTGCTAAGTGCTGCGCCAGCATGTCTGCGGAATATACCAACATGGGGAAGAATTCTCCTGTTGCGGAGCTTCTAATAGGAACCGGACTAGCCTCAACCAGAGCTGTGTAACACTGGTCCATACCAACATATCCCCCAAGACTTCGGGAACGCCAGTCCCCGTCCACATCTTCCATCCTCCCTTTGAGAGGGGCAGGTTTTCAGTGCGTTGTGTTTTTTTGTAGTGTTTGCTCATTCAACTTCTTAGTATTGAGTGCAATATATTCACGAGCGTATTGGGAGCCTATACCATGGTGTTATCTTTCCGCGACTCGTTCAACTGACAGCTTTCTAAAAGTTTAAGATTGATGGTTGAGCTAATGCGCGTATTTTACGAGAACGATTTTGAGTATAATTATACCACCTCGAGTTTTTTTTGTAACATACCTTATTATAGATGAGATAGAAAAAAGTGGGTAATCAGAAAGTACTGATGTCTGTGTTGCTGATTTTATACACATCACGTCAAATACCCACAGCTGGGTGAGATGTTTACAATCTGTCGGCAATTCACAGTGTGTTTAACATTTGTTTAATTATTTTTTTTATTTTTTTTCTATTTGAATTCCCAATAAGATCAAGTTTACCAGAACGGTGGAGCAGGACCCATATGCAGTAACAATCATGTGTGTCAAGGCCTCCTGCATCTGGAGACATGATGACGTCAGGTGAGTATATGGAGTGTGTCTGTGATACTGGACTTCATATCTGTACAAAGTGTTTTGTACAGCAGAACAGCACTGGACAGCCACGTGTATGTACTGTCTAAACAACTACAAGGACAAACAACTGTACAAAGTACCCTTTAAAGTTCAACACCATCGTTGAAAACAACGATCCTGCCCTATCATAGGGATTGTTTAACATGTACTTGCTGACGAACTAAAAACCATGACTCTTTGTGGTGAAAAATCCCAGGAGTAATAGTGATCAAGTGCATAGGCGCTTATCTAATTGATCATATCTGTATTGAAATATCTTTCTTGCAGTCAGGTTCATAGGGTCATTTCATATAAACAAGCACAAGGACCAGCACGGCTACTGCCACTGTCTAAACAACAAGAAGGGCATACAAGTTACTGCCACTGTCTAAACAACTTCAAGTACAAGCACGTCTACTGTCACTGTCTACACAAAAAAACACGGACCAACAAGCTACTATCACACATCTAAACATCTTCAAGTACAAGCACGGCTACTGCCACAGTCTAAACACATACACGGGCAAGCACGGCTACTGTCAATGTCAAAACAACTACAAGGACAAGCACGACTACTGCCGTTGTCAAAACAGCTTCAAGTACAAGCACGGCTACTGTCACTGTCTAAACAGCTTCAAGTACAAGCACGGATACTGTCACTGTCTACACAAAAACACGGACCAACAAGCTACTTTACCAAATCTAAACAACTTCAAGTACAAGCACGGCTACTGACACTGTCTAAATACCTACACGGACAAGCACGGCTACTGTCACTGTCTAAACACATACACGGACAAGCACGGCCACTCTCACTGTCAAAACAATAACATGGACAAGCACGACTACTGCCACTGTCAAAACAAGTACAAGGACAAGCACGGCTACTGTCACTGTCAAAACAAGTACAAGGGCAAGCACGGCTACTGTCACTGTCAAAACAACAACACGGACAAGCACGGCTACTGCCACTGTCTAAACACCTACACGGACAAGCACGGCAACTGTCACTGTGTCTCTAAAAGACTACACGGACAAACAAGCTACTGTTGCTCCTTTAACTACAAGGACCACTTTGGCTACTGCCCGCATCGAGACCATCTATTAACCGAATCTTTTCAGCTGCTATATCACCTTTTTTTTACAATTTTAATGTATTAACTGCACTCTGTGTCTCATAAGCCAATTGCCTGGTGTTGTGATATATTTAGAGTTTAGACATGTGTGCACAACATGTGACACATTAATAAACTATATTTCTTCTTCTTCTCACCAAGTGCAAGGACAAACGCGTCTTGTGTTAGTGTCTAAACAACTAGACAGGCAGCCACGGCTACTGACACTGTCTAAACAACTACATAGACAAGCACGGCTACTGACACTGTCTAAACAGCTACACGGGCAAGTGCGGCTACTGTCACTCTCCAAACAACTACGAGTACAATCACGGCTACTGACATTGTCTAAACAACTACAAGTCCAACCACGGCTACTGACACAGTCTAAACAACTACGTGTACAATCACGGCTACTGACACTGTCTAAACAACTACAAGCACAACCACGTCTACTGACACTGTCTAAAAAACTACAAGGACAAGCACGGCTACTGACACTTCTCGAAACAACTACACGCACAAGCAAAGCTACTGCCACTGTCTAAACAACTACACGGACAAGCAGAACTACTGCCACTGTCTAAACAACTACACGGACAAGCAGAACTACTGCCAGTGTCTAAACAACTACACGGACAAGTACGGCTACTGCCACTGTCTAAACAACTACACGGACAAGTACGGCTACTGCCACTGTCTAAACAACTACACGGACAAGTACGGCTACTGCCACTGTCTAAACAACTACGAGTAAAACCACGACTACTGCCACTTTTGTAACAACTACGAGTACAACAACGGCTACTGACACCATCTAAACAACAACGAGTGCAACCCCGGCTACTGACACTGTCTAAACAACTACTTAGACAAGCACGGCTACTGACACTGTCTAAACAGCTACACGGGCAAGTACGGCTACTGTTACTGTCTAAACAACTACACGGACAAGCACGGCTACTGTCACTGTCTAAAACACATACACGGACAAGCACAGCTACTGCCACTGTCTAAACAACTACAAGTAGAACCACGGCTACAGACACTGTCTAAACAACTACACGGACAAGCAGAACTACTGCCAGTGTCTAAACAACTACACGGACAAGCAGAACTACTGCCAGGGTCTTAACAACTACACGGACAAGTACGGCTACTGCCACTGTCTAAACAACTACACGGATAAGTACGGCTACTGCCACTGTCTAAACAACTACACGGACAAGTACGGCTACTGCCACTGTCTAAACAACTACATGGACAAGTACGGCTACTGCCACTGTCTAAACAACTACACGGACAAGTACGGCTACTGCCACTGTCTAAACAACTACACGGACAAGCACGGCGACTGCCACTGTCTAAACAGATACACGGACAAGCACGGCTTGTGCCACTATCTAAAGAACTACACGGGCAAGCACGGCTACTGTCACTGTCTAAACACCTACGCGGAGAAGCACGGCTACTGTCACTGTCTAAACAACTACGCGGAGAAGCACGGCTACTGTCACTGTCTAAACAACTACATAGATAAGCACGGCTACTGTCACTGTCTAAACAACTACACGGGCAAGCACGGCTACTGCCACTGTCTAAACACCTACGCGGAGAAGCACGGCTACTGTCACTGTCTAAACAACTACGCGGAGAAGCACGGCTACTGTCACTGTCTAAACAACTACATAGATAAGCACGGCTACTGTCACTGTCTAAACAACTACACGGGCAAGCACGGCTACTGTCACTGTCTAAACAACAACACGGACAAGCACGGCTACTGTCACTGTCTAAACAACTACGTCTACAGCCACGGCTACTGTCACTGTCTAAACAACTACATAGACAAGCACGGCTACTGTCACTGTCTTAACAACTCCACGGGCAAGCACGGCTACTGCCACTGTCTAAACAACTACACGGGCAAGCACGGCTACTGTTACTGTCTAAACAAATACGCGGAGAAGCACGGCTACTGTCACTGTTTAAACAGCTACACGGGCAAGCACGGCTACTGTCACTGTCTAGGCAACTACATAGACAAACACGGCTACTGCCACTGTCTAAACTACTACACGGGCAAAAACGGTAACTGTCACTGTCTAAACAAGGTTTTAATCCTTGGTTCGATCCCCGATCGCGTCATACCAAAAGATGTTGAAAGATGGCACTTGTTGTTACCCTGCCTGGCGTTCGGCATGAAGAGACCGGTCGGTTCGGAGTCTGTACGCTATGTTTAAATGGGTTATTCATGTTAAACTGCAGCATGGAATCTCAATGGGCTAGCATTATAAAATCGGCCTTAGTCCAAGCAGCCAGACTGACAGACAGATTAAACCCAAGTTCACCGCACCCTCAACGGCACGCATAGTTGCAGTCACTGAATAAACACCTAGAAAAGCAACGCGTTCGGAGTTGCGTCCCTTTGATGCAAGGATCCGCCGAATGGTGTTCGAATTACGGGTTTGCCTCAGTAATGATCCTTGGTGCTCGTCAATTTCACAGAGGAGGTAAGTAAATGGCCTGCGTCATATAACTGAAATATTGTTTACTCACTTATTTCCATCTCTACTGCAGCTGAAAACAAAGTGCGCATCTTTACAAATCTTTTCAGCGCCGAAGCTGTCTGTCCCAAACTTGCCTTAAACAAGAAAAACGCTTCTAACCAAAAGTTGTTGTTTTTTCACTTCGTCATGTTTTTCAACTTGATCAAACATCGAAGTAATAAAAACAACTTATTTGATGATAGTTTCATGGGGATTAGTTTTAGTTCAGAACAAAGTGGACCAAAAAATGGAATCAACCAAACAAAATATCAAAGGCCAAACTGACAGATCACGTGACCACGATTTCCTTTCGAACGCGCTTATATAAAAAACCCATCCCTGCAACGCGCGTGCAAAAAGATGGTGGCTTTCGCTTATACACGGGGCCACCATGGCGGCTTCTGCTGATTTGCGTGCCAATTAGAAATTGCTTTCTTATCCATGATGGTAGTGAATTGTCACGTGACCATTGCCTCCCATCGGAGATATCACGTGACTAGAAAACACTAGCCCGCCAAAAAGGAAAAAGTGACATAATCCCGCTCGACACTTTCTCCATCAAAGATTTACAATTTTTTCCCTTCAATTCCCAATTCCGGATGTGCGTGTCAATTTTAGTATCTCTCTTTCAGTTACTTTGCGCTATCCCACCCCTGGGTATACCCCATCCCACTTCTCTTGTTAACAATTAACAAGCCTTATTGGAAACGAAATCAAGAGGGGCGTCGAGAGAGCGTCTATTTTCTCTGTTTTCGTGTTGGGAGGTTTTTCAGACAATGCTTACAAGCTGCGCGATAAAACATAGATGAAAAGGTGTGCGTTTCAGAACCGACTTCAAGTGTTCATTCATAGTAAATAAAGATTATCAATCCCGATCTCTACCCGCCAAGAGACTTGCTGCACGCGGTCCGGGCAGCCAATCAGAGACTTGGGAAGAGAGCGCACATGTTCCGTTCTAATTTGGTCTTTGTCTACGAAATCGATTTAGTCGGAGAAAGTACAGGGAAATCTTCAGAGGACTATAGGCGTAGTGATTAGCAGTACTGTAGATGTATCGGTGGAGGGAGTTACAAATCACTGCCTTTTTACACAGATCTACTTTGCTTCAGTAATCTTATCTTTTAACTTTCACTGTGAGCTGCCGTGTATATACTACTGAAAAGAAGTAAAGGGTCACCCTATTCGGGTCCTTAAATTCTTTTGAGTAGGGTCACCTTATTCGGGCCCTTAACTTCTTTTGAGTAATATATATATGGTAGTGGTAGCAGCAGTAGTAGTAGTAGTAGTAGTAGTAGTAGTAGTAGTAGAAGTTACAGTAATAGTTTGTTTCTTTGTTGTTTAACGCCGCACTCATCAATAGTTTTGCTATAAGTAGTAGTTCTAGTCATAGGAGTGGTTGTGGCAGTGCTAGTATAGGTGAGGTGAAATGGGGTTTAATGTCGCGTCCAAGATTATTTCACTTATATAGCGACGTACATGCACGTGTGTATGTGTGTGGCTGCTTGTACTAGTCCGGACGGATGCCGATTAATAATGCTAGTCCATTGAGATACCATGTCGAAGTTTAATATAAATATCCCACTCAGACACAGTATACTGACCAGTCCTTGTTTTGGCCCCCTAATGCCGAGTGCCGGACAGGGTAACAAGTACCATCTTTAATGTCTTTTGGTATGAGTGAGTGAGTTATAATTTAACGTCGCATCGGCACTATTTCAGCCATATAGCGACGAGTTTTGGTATGACGGAGCCGGGCATCGAACCCCGGACCTTCCGCACTCCGGGCGGACGCTCTACCACTACACGACGGAGGCATTCAATGCTTTGTATTGGTATTATTATTATTAGTAGTAGTTGAAGTAGTAGTAGTGGTGGTGGTGGTGGTGGTGGTAGTGGTAGTAGTAGTAGTAGTAGTAGTAGTAGTAGTAGTGGTGGTGATAGTACTAGTAGAAGTAGTAGTTGAAGTAGTAGTAGTAGTAGTAGTAGTAGTCGTCGTCGTCGTCGTCGTAGTAGTAGTGGTGGTGGTGGTGGTGGTGGTGGTAGTAGTAGTAGTAGTAGTAGTAGTAGTGGTGGTGGTGATAGTGCAACTAGAAGTAGTAGTTGAAGCAGCAGTAGTAGTCGTCGTCGTCGTTGTAGTAGTAGTAGTAGTAGCATTTTCTGAGACAATTAATTTTTTTCGATAAAACTTCGACACAGAGCCAAGTCACAGAAGAATATGTGACAGTAGCAATATCTGTTTGATTGTTGTTTAACGCCGCTTTCAGTAATATTATAGCAATATGATGGCGGTCTGTAAATAATCAAGTCTGGACCAGACAATCCAGTGATCGATATCATGAGTATTGATCCACACAATTGGGATACGATGACATGCATCAACCAAGTCAGCAAGTCTGACTACCGATCCCGTTAGTCGCCTTTTACAAGAAGCATAGTCGCCTTGGGTTGCTGAAGACCTATTCTAACCCGTATCTTCACAGGTGAGCAATGTTATTAGATGGTGTAAGTTAGGAGAAGATTATGTGACCGTTGGAATGTTAATAGATTGTGTAATTAAGGTGTAGAATATGAGACGTACCAATGTAAGTAAACGATGTAAGGTAAGAGTAGAATACAGTATGTGATTGTAGCAACGTGAGTATATTATGGCGATTCGCTGTGCAGAGTTGCGTCCCTTGGGCACGCCAGAAACCTATGATTGTGGGTTAGAATCCAGGTTCGCCCCGATTATGTTTCTAGGTTTGTCAGCACCATACCCTTGCTCGTGGGTTTCACCGAAGTGGTAAACGTCTGAGACCTGCATCACTTGGGGCTTTCCTCCCACATTAAGCTGACACGCCGTGATATAACTGGAATAATGTTAAAAGCGGCGTTAAACCCAACTCACTCACACAAGTATATTATGTATGTTATGAGTAGACAATGTGAAGGTAGCATGTTCGTAGTCGCAGTGTTGGAGGAGCACCAATTGTAGGAGATTCGTTGTCGTCCATCAGTCTTTACTACATGGAGCGAAATGAAGGTCAATTCCTCAGCTATGTTTCTGAAAAAAAGAAGAAGTAAAAAGTGTCACGAATGTGTCACGCTTTGCGTACCATGGGCTTGACAAATATTTAGAATCGTTGGTTCGAATCCCGGTTCGCCCCGATTATGTTTCTAGGTTTGTCAGCACCATACCCATGCTCATGGGCTTCACCAGTGGTAAACGTCTGAGACCTGCATCACTTCGGGCTTTCCTCCCACATTAAGCTGACACGCCGTGATATAACTGGAATAATGTTAAAAGCGGCGTTAAACCCAACTCACTCACACAAGTATATTATGTATGTTATGAGTAGACAATGTGAAGGTAGCATGTTCGTAGTCGCAGTGTTGGAGGAGCACCAATTGTAGGAGATTCGTTGTCGTCCATCAGTCTTTACTACATGGAGCGAAATGAAGGTCAATTCCTCAGCTATGTTTCTGAAAAAAAGAAGAAGTAAAAAGTGTCACGAATGTGTCACGCTTTGCGTACCATGGGCTTGACAAATATTTAGAATCGTTGGTTCGAATCCCGGTTCGCCCCGATTATGTTTCTAGGTTTGTCAGCACCATACCCATGCTCATGGGCTTCACCAGTGGTAAACGTCTGAGACCTGCATCACTTCGGGCTTTCCTCCCACATTAAGCTGACACGCCGCGATATAACTGTAATACTGTTAAAAGCGGCGTTAAACCAAACTCACTCACTCACTCACTGTTGTGTTTGACACCGTTTATCCTTGACACGGTAGTTGAGCTATACCGATTGCATATACAAGTTGTGATTGTGATAAAAAAAATATCATTGAAAAAAGGGTTTAGTGGTGATGATGATTAAAATAATATTGATTTTCGAAACAATAGCCATGACAATGTTATTTGTTCTGGTGGTTATGACGACAACGATGTCGATAGTGTGGACAGTCATGCCGGTGACAGTTGTAGGTTTGGTTCTTGTTTATTCCAACTATATGACGATGACCAGTATTTAATCGAGTCTTAGTAACAATTATATATTATAAAGTTTCTCCCCTTTGTCGTAATTGTCTAGCACGTACACAAACTGTTGACTTCCTACTCACGTTAGTACCACACTGACTTTTCAAAATAATGACAGATAGTCATTTATGGAGTTATTATCGCTTCTTGTCGTTTTTCTTTCTTTCTTGGAAATGTTTTATTACAAACTGTAAATTTCTCATTTAACTCGTCAATCGAGACTGTTTGTTTCGCAAAGCGCAATTTTGTTACATGAACAGCGTGTATTCTTTCGCTTGCAACAACGGTGTCGTAGATTTCAAGGTTGTTTTTTTGTTGAAGTACATTTTGTATATAATCATATCAATATGTATGATAAAGAGTTTTATTGACATCAAATATTTGTATTACTATTGTAGACAATTGGCCAGACAAAAAAACCAGCCCATCCATTTGGTCGCCTCTTATCATAGATTGCTGGGACCTATTCAAACCGGGATCCCCACGGCCCTAGTAGTAGTAGTAGTAGTAGTAGTAGTAGTAGTAGCAATGGTAGTGGTAGCAGTAGTAGCAGTAATAGCAGTCGTATTAGCAGTAACAGTAGTAGTAGTAGTGGTAGCAATAGTAGTAGTGCCAATGGTATAGCAGCACAGCAGTAGTAGTAGCAATGGTAGTAGTAGTGCCAATGGCAATAGTAGTGGTAGTAGTAGTAGTGCCAATGGTATTAGCAGTATTAGTTGTGATAGTAGTAGTACTAGTAGTAGTAGTAGAAGCAATAGTAGTACCAATGGAAGTAGTAGTAATAGTAGTAGTAGTACCAGTAGTAGTAGCAATAGTAGTATCAATGGTAGTAGCAATTGTAGTAGTTGTGCCAATGGTAGTAGTAGTAGTAGTAGTAGTAGTAGCAGCAGCAATAGTAGTACCAGTGGTGGTAGTAGTAGAAGTAGTTGCAGTAGTAGTAGTACCAATGTTAGTAGTAGTAGTAGTAGTGTCAATGGTAGTAGTAGTAGTAGTAGTAGTAGTGCCAATGGTAATAGAAGAAGTAGTAGTGGTAGTAGTAGTAGTGACAATGGTAATAGTAGTAGTATTGCCAATGGCAATAGTAGTAGTAGTAGTAGTAGTAGTAGTAGTGCCAATAGTAGTAGCAGTAGTATTGCCAATGGCAATAGTAGTAGTAGTTGTAGTAGTAGTAGTAGTGCCAATAGTAGTAGCAGTAGTATTGCCAATGGCAATAGTAGTAGTAGTTGTAGTAGTAGTAGTAGTGCCAATGGTAGTAGCAGTAGTAGTTGTAGTTGTAAAAGTAGTAGAAGTAGTAGTAGTAGTAGTAGCAGCAGTAGTACCAGTGGTGGTAGTAGTAGTAGTTGCAGTAGTAGTAGTAGTACCAATGGTAGTAGTAGTAGTAGTAATAGTAGTGCCAATGAAAGTAGTAGTAGTAGCAGTAGTAGTGCCAATGGTAGTATTGGTAGTGTCAATGGTAGTAGTAGTAGTAGTGCCAATGGTAGTAGTAGTAGTAGTAGTAGTAGTGGCAATAGTATAACCAGTGGTGGTAGTAGTAGTAGTAGTTGCAGTAGTAGTAGTAGGAGTAGCAATGTTAGTAGTAGTAGTGCCAATGGTAGTAGTAATAGTAGTGCCAATGGTAATAGTAGTAGTAGTAGTAATAGTAGTACCAATGGTAGTAGTAGTAGTAGCGCCAATGGTAGTAGTAGAAGTGCCAATGGTAGCAGTGGTAGTAGTGGTGCCAATGGTAATAGTAGTAGTAGTAGTAGTAGTGGCAATAGTATAACCAGTGGTGGTAGTAGTAGTAGTAGTTGCAGTAGTAGTAGTAGGAGTAGCAATGTTAGTAGTAGTAGTGCCAATGGTAGTAGTAATAGTAGTGCCAATGGTAATAGTAGTAGTAGTAGTAATAGTAGTACCAATGGTAGTAGTAGTAGTAGCGCCAATGGTAGTAGTAGAAGTGCCAATGGTAATAGTAGTAGTAGTAGTAGTGGCAATAGTATAACCAGTGGTGGTAGTAGTAGTAGTAGTTGCAGTAGTAGTAGTAGGAGTAGCAATGTTAGTAGTAGTAGTGCCAATGGTAGTAGTAATAGTAGTGCCAATGGTAATAGTAGTAGTAGTAGTAATAGTAGTACCAATGGTAGTAGTAGTAGTAGCGCCAATGGTAGTAGTAGAAGTGCCAATGGTAGCAGTGGTAGTAGTGGTGCCAATGGTAATAGTAGTAGTAGTACTAGTAACAATGGTCGTAGTAGTAGTAGTGCCAATGGTAGTAGTAGTAGTAGTAGTAGTAGTAGTTCCAATGGTAGTAGTGGTAGTGCTAATGGTAATAGTAGTAGTAGTAGTAGTAGTAGTGCCAATGGTAGTAGTAGTAGTGCCAATGGTAGTAGTAGTAGTAGTAGTACCACACATCACGGACACGCGCCACTAGCTCCGTTTCTTCCATCTTGAAGTAAATCATAGAAGCAATGGAAATGTAAAGGCTGAGTGAATTACAACCCAAGCCTACACTGCGCATTATTGTGCTCATAGTGAAGGGACTGTTTTTTCTTCTACAGAATTGTGAAGCTGGTCTAAATCTGTAACGGTTGCGTGTTAGACCTAATATAATTGCACTATTTATTCATTGTTCTGTATTTTATTTCAGGGCTAATACTGACATTCTGCCTGCCGAGAGCGATGCCAGTATTCCCCGCCGAGTGCTATGGAGTATATTCGATTGACCAAATGCCAGGATGCGTTTGTTGAAATTAATATATAATTCATGATCTACCATTCCAATTTTATTGGAGGAGTTTTGTAAATGTTAGCAATGCAAGAGGATTGCGCTTGTTCATTAGTCTAATCGGCGAGCGTGTCCTCGGGACAATATCACAGGACTCGACTGACCTCTGGCTTCGAACGGAGAACAAAGACGAACTTAACTCAATAACGTCCCACGTTATTCAGCAAATTACCGCTGTTATTAACCAGTTTTCCCATGCTGCTGTGACCTATGATTTCTGAGGCACGAGCCACCATCTAACTGACCCGCGTTTTCCCCGGGGTGGGGCTCTGATGGAATGCGATCCCCGGGGTGGGGATCTAGAGAAATGCGCATCTTTTGTTTTCCCCTCGGCGGAGGGTCTGCTCGTTCTTGTGCGTTCATTTCAATATACCACAGATCTGGCAATACTGTTTAATCACTTTAGACGGGTTTATCCTCTCTTTAGGGGAATATGTTCTGTTGGAGATAATTATAGGAGACCATATTTCTTTCAAAAACGAATTGGTTAAATTGTCCTCATTGTGCAAAAAGTAGATGATACCGCTGTACCGTTTTAACCTTTATTCGAGAAGTTGACTTTTTCAAGTTTTAGGAAGGAGATAAGAGGAACGGACGTGAACCACATCTCTGCATTACTCCTCTATAAGTAAATGCGTTTTCAATGGACTGATGGGTCTTCATATGTAATTATTATTCCATATTATATTAAAGATGGGTGTTAAATACTTGTAAGATTATCCCTAAAATTGTATACATGTATGCAAGTGGAATTAAAGAATTAATATATAAACACTGGAAGTGTTTTAGCAGCAATAGATAACACGCGCATGTCGTGTGTTGAGCAGAGATACTTAGTGTTAGTGTCGAAACTTCGCAGCTGCTGCTGCTGCTGCTGCTGCTGCTGCTGATGATGATGACGACGACGACGATGATGATGATGTTGATGATGATACTTCCTTTTGTGATGATGATGATGATGATGATGATGATGATGATGATGATACTTCCTTTTGTGATGATGATGATGATGATGATGATGATGATGATGATGATGATGCTTTTTTTTGTCCGTCAGTAAAATTACAAGTACAATAGTACAGTTTGGTATACGGTATATGTGTTTGTATATTCCATTTTGCTAATTACCATCGCTTTAAAATTACATAGCATTAAAGCTGATTTCGTGAAAGATGTGTGCAGGTTAACAAGTGACCATTCAATCTGGCGGGTTCGTGCTGTGTGTGTGACAGCGTGTGACGTAAACTAAATAAATACTCAGTAATAAATAAATAAATTATGTTTATTCAACAGAATGGTGCAAATAGCATGGTAAAATATGTTGGTTATTTCAGCTGGGGTGATTTGACACCTTATCCCTCCACACACACACACACTCTTTCCTTCTCCCTCTCTCTCTCTCTCTCTCTCTCTCTCTCTCTCTCTCTCTCATATCGTCGAGTGCTTGTAACGTGAAGAACATTAGAAAGCTATAAACCTCTCGCCGGCTTTACAGGAGTGATGTGTGTATCTTAGTGTTGATATGTGTTGCTGTTGTTGCTAATGAAGACCTCGTGGCGAGTTAGTTATTTCTCAATATATGCTCGATATATGCCGGGCGATTTGTTCATATCACTATAGTTAATCTGTAATAGCACGATATTCATACCATGACAGATTAACTATGGTGATATGAAAGAATCGGGTGGTAACTTTAAGTAGTATATATTAAGACCACACGTCACGACCCCTGGATAACCACCAATATTTACCGTTACAAATCCCTTGGCACGAGACACTTGTGAATTCAACCCCAAAACCAATTCATGTGCTAATTCTCTTTCCAGGAAGGTCAATTACAAGTGATGACCTCTTCAAAATATTTCCCTTTCTCAGGGTGACAATTAAACGGAAGACATGATAATATTAGCCCTATTAGTCTGGTAGTTAAGTTCATTAGGAGCTTGTTTACATAGTGATTTTGACGGCACCGTAATCCCGCTATGCAAATTTGATTGACAGTTGTTTGTAAACATTGAGATTTGCACGAGGCGATGACAGCTATTGAGTGTGTGCGGATTCAGATCTTCATGTTGTTCTTGACATTTCGTTCGACGTTTATTGAATCGACATGATTTACGAAGAGGCGTGATTGAAAGATGTGAAGGAATACACGTGGGTAGATTGCTTCTGGTCTGAGCGTTGTTCAATACGTTCATAGTAGCTGCATCACGATATATTCATAAGGAATATTAAACATCGCTTGCTAGATATACTGTCGGGTAGAAAACATACACCCATGTTTGACGGTGGCTAATATGAAACAAAAAAGAAATGGTTATTCGATGGTGAGGTATTTGATACGGGTATCATAGCAATTAGTTTTGTTTTGGTCAAATCTAATGTTCAAGTGAGTACTTTCTTGAGTTACTTTGAGTAACGCTCGGTGCATATATGTATGATTCAATATGTACGCATATCACGTATAATATGGTAAAATAATAAATACGCATAAATATAGCAAAAGTACGTAAACGCACACATTTATGGATTAAGGTGATATGTATTGAAGTTGCACAATAGACCAAGTTGCATACGTAGTTTCTCACTTTTAATAATGGCATGTTAGTTGGAGGTATTGGAAATAATAATTATTTCATGAAGTAGCAGTTTTGAAGCAAATTGTGTAACAGAACGTTTGCATTCGTAAGTCACCACAAAAAAAGTAACTTTTGATTGTCAGGTTCGACCGCCACATTATAACATTTGTATGATCCTTTTATTATGATTATAATTATTATCGGTGTTCGGCAACAACAGCCTTTTTTGTGGCCTATCACATGGTATGTGGCCTCCGCCTGTTTATAACCATATCACGTGACGATCCGCGATAGAATTGGTCTTCAGCAACCCATGCTTGTCGTAAGAGGTGACTGACGGAAACAGGTGGTCAGGCTCGCTGACTTGGTTGATACATGTCATCGTATCCAAACTGCGTGGATAGATGCTCATAATGTCGATTACTGGAATGTCTGGTCCAAACTCGTTTGTTTACTGACTGCCGTCATATAGCTGGAATATTGCTGAGTGCGGCGTTTAACAAAGCAACACAATGAAACGCTTCCCCTGGTCTTGTAGCGGACATAATGTACGCTGTCCATCTGCCGACTGTGTATGTTTCGCCTTCGATAGATGCTAATTTAGTGTCTTTGTCAATGTAATGCAATAAATATCTTCACTATATTTCATCATATTGAATATAGATGTGTTTGTGAAATTATTAGCTTGTGTGCTATTTGTGATAGAACAACCTTAATCTGCCATTACATATCATTAAACTGCTACTACTGCTACTACTACTGCTGCTGCTACTACTGCTACTACTACTACTGCTGCTGCTGCTACTACTATTACTACTGCTGCTGCTGCTACTACTACTACTACTACTGCTGCTACTACTACTACTACTACTGCTGCTGCTGCTGCTACTACTGCTACTACTACTACTACTACTGCTGCTGCTGCTACTACTGCTACTACTACTGCTGCTGCTACTACTACTACTACTGCTACTACTACTGCTGCTGCTACTACTACTACTGCTGCTGCTGCTACTACTGCTACTACTACTGCTGCTGCTACTACTACTACTACTGCTGCTGCTACTACTGCTACTACTACTACTACTGCTGCTGCTGCTACTACTACTACTGATGCTGCTACTACTCCTACTACTGCTGCTGCTACTACTGCTGCTACTACTACTACTGCTGCTGCTACTACTACTACTACTACTACTACTGCTGCTGCTACTACTGCTGCTACTACTACTACTGCTGCTGCTACTACTGCTTCTACTATTACTACTGCTGCTGCTGCTGCTACTACTACTACTACTGCTGCTGCTGCTGCTGCTAATACTGCTAATACTACTACTACTACTACTGCTTCTGCTACTACTGCTACTACTACTGCTGCTGCTACTACTATCATCATCATCATCACCATCCCGGCTAAAGCAAATTCCATTGTACGATTCCAACAATATCACGAGACTGTGTTCATAAATCACTCTCAAATAGAGTTGATACCATGATGTGTTCGCGGAAAGGTTAGCGCATCCTGCCCCACCGGTGGCACCTGTCACGTACACACAAAAAATGTCGCGATCTCTCACTCAAATGAACCACGTCGAAATACACAACGCGTGATCATATTCACTTTCTAAAAGCCTACTACATTTTCATAAATATATATTTTGTCAATGCACAAAGAATAATAAAATTTCAACGGATTCCAAAATAAATCCGAACAGTTGTAAGTATCCGTATTAACACTCTTATCCAGAGGTTTAGTGCTAATGACCCTAATCACATTCCTGAGTGATAGCCAGAATGTAAACAACAACCAATGTCAACAAACACGTGTCCATAATTAACCACGTGACACAGATCAGGTGACACCAACACGGCACGCTCTGCAGGATAAATATAGCACCGTGTTTGTAAACAAACGGATTATTAGTGGTTGGATAAGCATTAGGAGGTGTAGTTAGTCTCAGGAGGTGTACATATTATTATTATTATTATTATTATTATTATTAATGAAATACATATTACGTATAAATGTATATGTGAGTAAGTCAAAAATATTTAGAAAGCTGATTTATAGTTAAAGTTTAGAGTAGAAATATGTTGTATTTCAGTGCAGTTATCATACTGTTGTGGCTTGACTTGTTTGTTCGCTGGGGTGATTTCCACCTTTTCCCTCCATACAGACGTCCCTCCCTCCCTCCCTCTCTCACTGACAATACTACTTTCAGTGTTTCAGTGGTCACTAAGGTATATATATACATT